AAGGAATTTTAATAACAGTCAATTTCTTTAATTATATATATTTTTTTTGTGATTTCAACGTTTAACTTTAATATATTGATGATTTCAACGTTAAACTTTGATATATTGATACAATAGATTCCGATTAAAGAAAACTAAATCGCACGCACATGTACACACACACATGTGCACACACACGCACGCTTACGTAAATACACACGAGACCAAAACTTACTAGAAACTATGACAGAACAATAATGTGTCGGGAAGTGTTTATGTTAAGCAAATTGAAATATTTTCCAAAATGATAACTATACTAGTAGATCTTCAGTTCTTTATATAAGTAAGCATGATACAAAACATAAGATAGTGTCAGACGGAATTCATCGATATTAACTTACGCAAACATCTGATTAATGTTATGTAAAAGTGGCATTATATATGTTGGCAGGGGAAAAAACTATGACAATTATTGAGACACACATTGATATGACGACTAAGTCTGCGCTGTGACTAAGTCTATTGATTATAAGGTGAAATTTACTTTCAAATAAAATGTCTACATCCGCAACATACTGAACTAGAGTCGACTCGTGTTATCTCGAAGTTGTTGGGACCATCGTTATAAAGTCGAGATAACGAAATGTCGAGATACGCCTAAAAGGTTTGATAATGGTTTATATTTATCAAAATTATGCTGAGTATGCTTGTGTGTTTTTGTAAAACAATGGGCGATGCTTTCCCACCTAGCAGCTTATTACCCCCACAAACACGGATGCATGTTATATATGACTGAGGCAAACGTTCATATATTAATTTACAAAGTAATCCCATATGCACAAAATTAAACCTGATTGAAAGCACATACAATATGAAATAATAGGGTATCATTACTGTTTATTTATCATCTCATTTATATTTAATTTTTGGTTGAAAAATTCTAATCAATAAAATTTTCCATAAATATTTTTGATAATGTATGCGCAAATATCATGTCTGATAAGTACATGTAAGTACGAATAAACTAACATTACCTTTTTATAAATTCTAATCATAATAATAACAATAATAATAATAATAATAATAATAATAATAATAATAAAAATAATAATAATAATAATAATAATAATAATAATAATAATAATATAATACACGTAATAATAATAATAATAATAATAATAATAATAATAATAATAATAAAAATTTGATAATAATAATAAAAAATAATATTAATAAATAATAATACAATTAAATCTTACAGTGGCAACAAGGCACCTGCCTAGGTTAATGGGTACATTGCTGGGTATATCGAGTGCTAGAATTATACTGTACTGATTATAATATAAATTGGTTGGTTTTTTATTCGTTTTGGCTCATTATTATTGAAATTATTTTAAGTGTCTCAGATGTTACACCCAGTTAGTGACCTGATAAAAGTTTGTTCCTTTACTTAGTTATATATGATAACATGAAGTTATTATCATACTTTGTTGAGTACAATACTATTTTGTATAAGACGAGTGCTCAGCTGTTAAAGAAAAAGGTGCTATCAAAGTCTTAATTAGGTTTCACAGCTGTGTACGAGTCCAATAAATTAGTATTGTATTCAACAATGTATGGTAATCTTTTTTTGTACAAAAATTTTGTTCTGACATTTTGACATAACTTTGTTACTTCTAGAATAATAAGGATTGGATATGAATTTTTGGGAATCGGAAAATGATAATAAGACTGAATTGATAAAACTTGATGCAATAGTGATTCATAATAAGAGATCACATTGCTTACATTTTATTAAGTCTTAAACAAAAATGACGAGCACACTGAAGGCAAAAATCAAAATACTCTTAAGTTTATGATATCTTAATCAAGCAAAAGGAACACAGAAGCTGATTCAAAAATAAACAAGCAACATCTTGTCAATTTTCGTTTTGAGCATTTAAGTATCAGCATATTATACTAAAAGGGCAATAGTATTGTGTTTCGTTTTATTTATACAAACATATTTATATCTAAACATGTCAAATGCAAATAATAAGAGCACATTTTGAAGGATCATACATGTAACCGATATCTTTCAGGGTTATCTCAAATCGTGATGCTAAAATAATTGTATAAAGCATATTGTCATTCTTTGAACAATGAAAAGAATTGGTATGGGTTATGATTTTTGAAATTACATACATTTCTGGCACTTAATCATAAAATACATAATAATGTGATACTTCAGTTTCCGTTTCCTGCAGTGAGATTTTCAAGTAAGACATACAAAATGAAAACATTTGTCAATTGTGCCTAAAGTTCTGTGTCTTTTTTCACGTGATTTTTTTTTAGTTTGAACGTACCTTTTGTCCGTTTTAAGTTGTATGTCATGAAAACTTAAACGCGATCACGATGGTTCAGGTAGAAAGTTTGCTTAATTATATATATCTTAAAATCAGAAAAAAACTTAGTGGTTGAATATGATAAAATATATAACGACCTTCCATTCATATACAGTTCGCCAAATTTTTTGTTCCGATGAAATCGCACTATTTTGTTTAAATTTTGTCAAATAGTTATCATACAGTGCATGTATTAAATTTATACGTTATATGAGCCGATTTAATGGACTCTGCCTATTGACATAATGCACTCGATTTGAATTGACGGGCCTAATTGTAATCGGCTTTAGGCTATTTTATAACTTATATCATAAAAATAAAAATAATAAATAATAATAATAATAAAAGCTTTATTTATAGAAGGTAACATACAAAGTTTACACAGTAAGAAGTATACTTATTTTCAGTTTGGCCTTCTGAGTTAACAATAATAAAGAAAAAAGTGTAAATCCATACAAAATTTAAAATCTTTTTGTATAAACAAAAAAATATATTCTTTAATGTAAAGTTAAATATTTTCATTCATTCATCCGACTGATACTCATATTAATTATAGTATTTATAGATAAACTCGTAATATTTAAAGAAAAGAAAGAAAAATGATATCAAAATTTACAACAGTTACTGTCAACTTAAAAAATAAATTTTACAGCTGTTTTTGAAAAAAATGTTAAGTCGAACATTGTTTGATAGTAAAGGGTAATTTATTCCAAACGTCAAAACTGAAATAAGAAAAAAATCCTTTAAATAATGAGGTTGAGGTATACTTTTCAGAACAAGGTTCTATTAGCGATTCAGCGTAAATTATGTAATTTATTGTGAGAGTAATTAAAAATTTCACTTATGTATAACGGTGCCAGATTGTTCGCTCGAAATTTTATGTCTTAAAATTCGGTATATAACATATAACCTATACGAAAGGATGCAATATCAAAATGCAAAATTTATGTATAAGTATATATTTCAAATATGCTCCACATTGATGTTTCTATTGAAGGAAGATTATATACGTAAATAGTAGTACGTTTGCAACGATTATGAATAAGACGAAATATGCAGGTGGAAGAAGACTGAATAAAGCTTTTTGTAACTCAATTTAATTCGATTTACTGAATTAATCGATTAACTTAAAGTCTTATACATGTACACACAATCATCACCAGCAACTACGACATCATTTTATGCCAGTAATCAAAGAAAACATTCGCACAAAGAAATATGCAGCGAAAAGTGTATAGAATCAAACAGTTCCATTTTTTAAAACAAAAGTAAGAAATTCAAATATAGAATCAAGAAATAAATTAGATGTGCTGGGTATTGTTAAAATTACATCTATTATATTCTTTCAAATTTTGTATGCATACTTTGAGGATCTAAGATCTGTAAAGCCTTTTCAATACTTTTTTAGAACTCCTACGTCTAGTTTTAGGTTTTGCTATTTTGTCTTTTTTCTCTACAGATCGTTGTCTCTTCAACGGTAATGTCTTTTTCTTACTAGTTTTCCTGTGAATACCTGGCCTTTTGCGAGATCTGCACGGCTTCGCACCACTTTTACAGGAAATATATCTGTTCATTATTTGATGTACTTCATTTTCGTGAAAATGAATATCGTTCTGAAATGAAGAAATAAATAAGGCATTAAAGACAGATGCTATATAATATCAGTACAAGATATGTGTCATTTTTGTTATCATCCATATCGAACAAATCGTCAAGGCTTTACGGATACAAACGCTTTCCTGATAAATTTTCTAGTCAGAGATGAATCTTCCTATCCAAGTACAGGAAGGATTACAACCCTTCCTCCTATATTAGAAATATTAAAAAGGTTGCATACAATTAAATTCACTATGAAATTAAATGAATATCAAGAATAATCATTTGTGCTATTAAAAAAAATTCTACGAGTATTTCAATAAAAATCATTAGCTTGTTATTATTTAACTTCATTTAATGAAATTTTACTTTCGTTGTTAAAATGAACACTAACTTGCTTTTGACACAATAATTTCGATTGAAAATCGGAGACATTAATAAAAACCTCTGTTTTATATATTATCTTAGTAGAAGAAGAACAAAAATATGTAAGGTGAAACCCATCGAGAGCATCTAAAACTTAAACAAAAGGGCGAAATTTCAGACTCTCCATGACTGTGTCTGTTCATGAGAGATGAGATAAGGCGCAACATCCCTCATTACCCTAACACCGTCTTAGTATGACCAATTTTAAAACCTAATGCGCTAGAAACAAGGGTAAACATAACAATACTGAGATAAATAAAACGAGGCATTTTTCATAGTTGTCGCAAAATTTGTCCGAATACAGTCGCCTTTTCTTCAGCCGCCATGTGTGTGATGTACATGACTATTTGAGCTAATTTCGAAATCTTATTATTAGCATCGGTTGCATATCGCAGTCTAATTCTTTTATTTACAATATATTCTACTTTTTTCACGAAATAATTCTACATAGATTAATATTTCTTTATGTTCTAGATCACAATTTCTGTCCGTATTTCAGGATGCCACTTACTATAATATCTACAAATTAAAAATCGACAAATCTAAAGCTGATCCGAAATTTAAACATGACTTAATCTTCAGCGAAGTGTTAATTCATTGAAACTATCACGGCACTAGAATAATATAATTTAATTACTTGCCTCCTGACTTATGTTATAACCAGGTTCTACATGAGAATTGTTTGCACTCTTTTTTTGAATACATTTTAATTTACTATCGAAATTTGAAGAAAAATGGTTTAAATGAAGTTCATTGTTTGTTTTTGCATGATAATTGTCATCATTAGGTTCCAGATCAGTGTCTGTGCTGTTTGTTTCCTCGTTAAAATTGCCAGTGCTGTCAGAATCTGTGTCTGTGTTGTTTGATTCCTCGAGATATTCGCCAATGCTGTTAGAATGGATGTCTGTGTTGTTTATGTCCTCGTTGTGATCGCCTATGCTGCTAGCATTGGTGTGTGTGTTGTCTGTGTCCTCGTGATGAATGTGTATGCTGCTAGCATTGGTGTCTGTGTTGTCTGTGTCCTCGTGATGGTCGCTGTTGATGTTAGTATTGCTGTCAGCACCACTTGTACTTTCGTCACTCATCGTGCCACTGTCATCATTATTCACTTCATTTTCATTTACATTTTCAAAAAAGTGCATTCTGCTAACTCTCTGAACATTAATGGCTTGTCTATTTCCACGATGTACTACATTTATGTTCTGTAACTCAGCACCCTCTTCTATACCTACGGCCTGAAATTAAGATTAAGATATTTTATTATTACATGTATATAAAAGACATTATTCATTTAAATTCATCAGACATTGATGAACTGATAAATCAGTGTGTTGTATGAGCGAAATATATTTATATACGAAACTATGTTTTGAAAACCCTCAAATTATCAAATTTAAGAATTATATCTTTTAAGCTATTATATCATGCAGCTTAATTATTTCTTTTATGTCTGTCATTGTCTACAAATTCATCTCTATTATAATTGACCATAACATATTTTGATTTATCATCTTTGAGATAAGATATATTTACAGCTAACGAAACATCTAAGAAAATGAATGTTTTATATTTAGGAAAAGAGAAATTACTAGTACTCACCCTTTGTCTTCTAGACATTCTAAAATGCATGATTATTGTTATCATAACTAATATAACAACACTCAGCAGAATTACCATGCAGACGATAAGTACAATGATGACATACTTTGCTGTAAAATATATAAAAAAACAACAAATTAATATATAATATTTATAATAAGAGAACACTATTTGATAACAAATTTCGGAAATATATTATTATTATTTGTAAATCGTACGAGAGCTAGAAACACAACTGACAACATTCTCCTTATTATATAATAGTTATTTAATCAATTATTCATTGTAACAGACAATACTTTTAAACAGAGGCTTCAACGAAATATATTTTTATATATCTATGTAATTGTGCCATTATACAGTCAAATTAGGAATCAAACGATGATTTGAGCCGCGTCATGACAAAACCAACATAGTGCTTTTGCGACCAGCATGGATCCAGACCAGCCTGCGCATCCGTGCAGTTTGATCAGGATCCATGCTGTTCGCTTACAAATCCTATAGCAAGTAGAGGAACTGATAGCGAACAGCATGGATCCTGATCAGACTGCGCGGAAGCGCAGGCTGGTCTGGATCCATGCTGGTCGTAAACCCATTATGTTGGTTTTGTCGTAGACTCGGCTCGTTTGTTTCTTAATCAAAATGAAATGCTTACGTTCTTTATTAACGACTGACTGGTTGATACTTAAGCCTGATGATGATGACGTTGAAGTTGCACTAGTATCTGTACTTGAAGTAGACACACCTGAAGAACTACTAATGAATGAGCTTAATCCCAGGGATGGTGTATATTTATCTGTTATTACTATGACTGAACTGGTCGGGAAAAGTGTATTTTGCACAAAAGATGATTTTTGGATAGAATTCAAGGTTGTTCTTTTATGAGATACTACATGTGCTGTTTGTATTGCAGTTGAAGTCATTATAGATGATAAGGAACGTTCTCTTTCTGTTTGTGTGATTAAACTATCTTGTAAATGTATTTGACTGTGTGTTTTCATAACTGTGTTTGATTGTAGTGTAGAATGTTTAAAATTTGCACTTGTTGGTAAAATTGTTTCTTTTGTTGATTGTTGCACTTTAAATGTAGTTTCCCAAGTTTCAAATGTGGCTTGATCTATTGTGCCTTTGCTAATTTGTGATGTAAGTTGCTGCATTGTTGAAGTTATTTCACTACTTTGTAATGCAAATGAATTTAGTGTCGATACACTCTCGTCATTTGGAACGTCCGGCGTATATCTTGTCATTGTCTCGTCGATAGTTGATACCTTTGTCGGCAATACTTCTGATTTCCTTTCGCTAAACTTCAAAGTTGTTGTACTTGATGCCGACGAACGTCTGCTTGACTGCAAACTTGTATGTAATATTGGGTTACTTTCGCTATATTGCGAAATTGACGAATGAAACGCCGATGTCCCTTCGCTAGTTTGTAAAGTCAACGTTGAAATACTATTGACAGTATAAACAATTGATGATTGGGCTATTGACAAACTTTCACTTGTTTGGAAAGTCGGTGTATGTCTGGTTGTTGTTTCGCTTGGTTGTAATATCGACATAGATGTATGCTTAATGGAAACACTTTCGGTGGGTTGCAATGTATTTAATGTCGCTGTACTTGTTGGCTTTGGCGATTCATGTTTCATTTCATAAGAGCACGAAACTGTGAGCATTTCACTGCCCACACCTACAGAATCAATATATGTATTACTTTTTACATATAAGAGATATTGAAATCAGAAAAATAGAAATATATTGATTTGAATTAAAAGCGTTTAATTGATTTTCATTTAAGATATTTTTTTAAACATTGTTAAATTTAAAAATATTTTTTTTTGAAAAGCGGAGAAAGCAAATGATATTTTTTCTGCACATAAGTTTTGGTCGATCTATACATGGTAAATAATCTTAAAAGATTAATTCAAATCATTGTAACTAGGTTATATTTGGACAAATATTTTAGAAACGCATAATTACCAACCGGAAAATCCCATAAAAATGTGTCCCCCATCTTCTTCTAGATCATTTGTTAGATTCACTGTTATTAAATGACCCTTCGTAAGTTCTGTGATATTAAACAGCGGAGTTTCTTTGCAATTCCACGTGGTTACTCCATTAGAATCAGTAATGTTTACACCTTGTTTACATATGTCCCCATGCATCCCTGGTCGAATGTCAACAGAATAAAATTGAATGTTTGTGCCGTTAGTTTGGATTTGGCACTCGCAGGAAGCAATAGTTGAAACAACACTTTTCGGATAGTCAGTATTGGTCAAATAGAATGCACCGCTCGTTACATTGTAAGTTTTGTTTGAGCACATGTCACCAATTCTGTTACCTAAATTCAGATGTTTAAAAAGCTGTTGTTAAGCCTATGCAAATTTTAATTACAAAGGAGCATTTGTTTTTCTAAAGTTCATTCTTGTTTTAAAAACAAATAATTTTTTAAAGTACAAATATAAACAGTAAAATCTCTGTCTCGTATATTTAATATTAGTCTTAATCAGTTTAGTTTTTTTCAACAATTTATCAATTGAATGCTACTTAAATAAAGTAAACGACACATTTTTTAAGTACAAATACAATAGTTTGAAATTCGACGCATATCTATTCATATGTTTTTATTGGATAAGATACTAACGCTCAATACACGAGTAATCCATAACCATATAATTAGTACCAGCTGGATACAAAGAAGCGTTTTTGCAATTTGTTGACTGCCATGATACTTCCATATTTGGCCTGCTCTTTGTATAGCCAGAGGAGCCTTTATGATAATAGTGATCTAGACCAGAGCTTAAAATAGCATATTCGTAAAATTTATCAATGAGATTAAAAAAAGATAAGAGATGAAAATTCATGAAATTATCATTCTGTGACAAGTCATACTATTAAGTACCAATTTACTATATATAAACGTTACGCACTTGAGTTTGATATATCGGAACAAGGAAATTTCACAATACAAATCAACTACACAGTACAAGTAGTAATTACCAATCATTATTAGAAATACTTTAATAACTCACTTTGTGTAATTATAATCAAATAAACAATCCTCAATCTCGTCTGGTAGACAACAGGCAGTCTCATCGAGAATTACAGATATGTTTGAATGATCAACAAGGTAACTTCCGGTATGATTCGTCCATTCGGTAACACTGCTCGGACAGTTTTTTGATAATGGTTTTGCGCCAACTTTTAGGCCTTGTATTGCGATCACAGAATCGGTATTTGGACAGGAAGGCCGTAATTGTCCGTGTGTTCCAGGACCATAACATACCGAGTTGTGGTTGTCATAGCGTATCAAAGGCTCTGGTAGTTTATTCCCGGTCGTTCGAACGACTGTAAACACGAAAATCATCAATAAAATTCATATCAAATACCTTGTACACTACACACAAAATGAAGATCATAACCAGATTTATGCCAGATCATAGCTCAATTTGCATTAATGCCATTTAGATCAAAATACTGTTGAAAGCGTTACTTCAGTACAACGCATAAAATCTATAAGCAATTGATCTATCTAATGACTTTCAACTTACACAAGACCCCTCTCACTATACATAACCATATTCATAACAGAAGAAAAAAACATAACACTTATTCAGTCTTATGGTTTTAAGGTTTAAATAAAGCAGTTTTGCGAACAAATAGTCTTCTTTATTCTTGTGTAACTTTAAACGCTCCCGGAAGTGAGTGCCAATATAACATTTATTGTAATGGTTAAATTTATTTATACTATTGTCAATCACTCTGAAACAAAAGGCCAATAGTAAACAATACAAGAAATTCCTTCTTTAAATCATATTATTTGCCAAAAGATTAATACTTCATTTAAAAAGAAACGGACAAAGAAGTTCACTTTCACGTTATCTTAAAATATTTTTTTCTTTATTTTCTTATTGATAACCCGAACAATCTTAAACTCACATTTATGCTTGTTTTACATTTTTGTTTACTATTATTACTATTCCCGTTCGTACCTGAAATAATGCAAGAAGGGACACCTGCGGTCTTCCTCCACCAATAAAGCTGTCAAGTCGCCATATGAACTATACAGTGTTAACGTAACGTAAATCCAAAACACAAATTATTATTAATCATGCTTGAATCATCATGATCATCATAATCGTAGCCATCATTAAGTGGGGTTAAAATTCGCAAACACATTGTTATGGTCATATGATTATAGAATCTCAGGTGCCCTTCAATATTGTGGGAATGTCCTGGCGCCTGAATAAACTACAAATTAGTGGCCCTCCGTAAGATAGGCTTTTAGCTGAATAGTTTTCTCATAGTCTTTGTTAGGACTAAAATCCACTGCAATCCGAGTTAATTGATTCCGAGTCAATGTCTGACTGAAACAACTTAGTCCTAGAGGTTTCTTGACGGGGTTTTCGCTTATAAATTTAAAACTGTTGATATCGAAATAAAAAACACAGCATCAATCGCAATTTTTTGTTAATGTTTTATGTCGCAACACCACGGCAAGAGGCCAGTTTTATAGGTAGAAGAAGACCTAAGGCGCCCTCCTTGCATAATTTCAGGCACGCATTGGTAATCACGTTCCGTAAGCGAACTAGATAGCTTCCTCACATTAAAAAAGCCGTAGTCCCTAGCGGGTATCGAACCCCCACAGTTATGGACGCCCCTTCGCATACGATGATTCATTGTTTTTATAACAGTCATGATAAATATGCGTTATAACAAACGTTCTCCTCCCTACATAACAGTAATAAACTGGCTATCTTAATGCGTCTGCAGCATGTCACGCAAAAAATTACAATGTGTATATTAAAATTTCGATAATGTAGGATCGAATTTCCATCTGTTTAAAAGTGCCCATCACTAATTCCACTCGCATCGGTTTTTGTAAGCATAGAACAATAAATATGAGGCAGAAATTTGAAACACACGTTCAACATTCGTTGAATTGAAAACCACAGAATACTTTTCAAAATGTTTTAAAGTACATTGTAACTGTATGCGTACGAACCATGTTTAAAAATATAAGTTTCAATGGATCTGTCTTGAGTTTCTTAACATTCAGTCACTCAGCAATATCATTATTATTATTTTTAAATCTAATTAATCTATTTTGAAATTTGTTTCGTAGGCAATGTGTATCGTCTTATGGCAATGAATCAGAAAAGCAGCATTTCCATATACATGATATAAATTCAAAATCAAAATAGTAATATAAAATTACAGTCACAATACGAAAAAGGAAATCTTAGGTCACTATTTGAGCAATTCCAAAAAAGAGATATAATCTCTCTTTTGCTCTTATGGTTAAGGTTTACATTATTTTAGATTTGAAAAGTTGCGATCGTTAGAAGTATGAGGTTGAATGACTTTAAAAAGTCAACAGCAAAAAACATAAACTTACCATTGATTACAACGATTCCGAAATAGAAGCGAACTGCATGTTTCATTGCCATCGTTGTAGACCTTGCATTTAATCTATTAAGATTAAAAACCACTTTTTTTCTAGCGTTTAAGATTAAGATTATAAAAGAATGTCTTGACTTTCTCAATTAATAGTATTTTTCCTTTTGTTCTTTCAGCTGACATGTACACGTTTTACGTCATTCTTTATTGAGACAATAAATCATTACAACATGGAAAATATAGGGACTTTCCATTTTATTATACATGTATATAAGCATATAAAGACAATTGAAACTTTTTCATGCATGCCCTGCCATACACAGCTCGATGCACTTTTCCTTTTTTGGCAGCGATATATATAACCAAGGCCTTTCAATCTATTTTAAAGAAATTGACGTAACGTAATTAGTTTTGACTTGTTTATGTTCATTTTTCGGTTATTTTGAGACACTGCAGTTTTTAGAGCTTGAGTTTGTTCTATCATTTATAATGATTTAAAAAGCCATGACGTTTTAAATGTACAAACAAAACAAAGTATTAGAACGCTAGTATATTAAAGAGTGAATGGAGCACCACACACCACATACTGGACAAGGCCTTTGAATGTATAAATGCTAAAGTTTCGCCTTTTCATCCAACGGAATGAATTTTAAAACATCCAATTCATCTCTTCACTCCGGTTTATATACAACAATGAATTAAAAAGAATAAAAAGGGCAAATAAAAGCTTACATTAACATAAATTAACTTGCAAGCAAAACAGCTCTTGCCTCGCATATTATTTTACAATGAGGCATGGAATCTTAATGTGTCACAAATTTAAATACATACTTTAAAGCTATCTTGATCAGGCATTGGTTTTCAGTTCAACACAACTCCTTCCAGAACAGTAGATACGTAAGCAAATGATAATTCTATACATACAGATAGCAAAAAGTGTAGCTTTTGATGACATTATGATTAAAACCATATTTTGAGGGTATCTTTGTGTGATAAATAAAAGTTCGCGAAATGACTTTACCTATATTTATTTATTCTTTAATTAGGTAAATAAAATTTACCATGCGAATGCGAAAGCTAAATAAATATTAGGAATTTTCTGTTTCACAGTTCAAATTGCCCTAAATACGTTTCTTCTACCAATGCATCATTGTCATAAACCACTGCTTAAAAACATTTACAAAATAAATTTTAACAACCACCGTGGTAATTATTTATGATTTATAATTTTTCAAGGGTTAGAATTAGCAATGAACGGTGGCACAGAGGTGACATGCAAATTATTTTTTAATTGATTTTTTATCTCGTTCCCTCTAGATACTTACTATAGCTTACGACATAGTATCTTGTGGGAACGAATAACTCGTGGGAATAAGATAATGCAATTAAAAAGAAAAGAGTTTTCAAATATGTAAAAAAAACTGAACGATGCATGTTACATGTAGCTATGTCAGCCAATCAACTGGCGTGTTACTCTCATTAAAAATATTTTTACTAAGATTTTGAATATGTCAATGATTTCAGAAACATGGAGTATTTTGTCACTTGTTAATTTCTGATGAACATAAAGAAATATCGAAGTAGCGAGAGCCAAGCTAGCTATAGTCTATCTAAAGGGACTCCACTGAGGTTTTTTGACATGGTGGGACTTAACAATTTTTTCCATATAAATGTTTCGTTCAATGTAAGCATAGACCACTAATCTTTGTGCAAAATTTAAGATCATTCGCGCACTTGTTTTTTTTTCAGAATAATTATTCAAATTGTAAAGAAACGACCCAAAATGAAAAGCGTTTAGACGCTTTTCACCGAAAACGGGCTAAAAAGGCATAAAAATACGATTTACAATTTATTTCAAAGTATATTTCTTAACTATCTTTGCATATATTTCTGTTTAAAGGGGACCAGCTCAATTATGTAAGAAATTCAAATTTTAAACCTCAGTGGAGTCCCTTTAACATTCAACGTAGCATATAATTATCTAAATACATGCAATAGTACTTGTAAATATCGTCTTTATAAACCGTAAAGGTAATGTTTGAAATATTCTATGTCAAACAGTTTACGATACAGAATTTAACCACCATGTCATTGAAATTACTGATTGAACTAATACAGCAAGACTGAGGTACATAATTTATAATTAACGACTTTTTCGGTCTTAAAATTAGTTGGCTCTATAATTCATCAGAACGAAATAATCTATGTCGTGTCGTTCCCACGACAAAGTTAACTCGTTCCAAGGAGAAATAAAGTTTTTTACTCGGCAGAACTAACATGCACTGTTCGTTTCTATGACATGGTTGTTTTGTATATTACGTTACTCTTTTTTCAAACGTTATACTATATAAACTTCACTTCTTTTTGTTTTTTAAATCTCGTTCACACTTTGGAACGAGATAACAAAAGAAAATTGTCATTTAAAAAATGTGCATGTCAATTCTATGCCACCGTAGCAAAGTCTGTCAATAATTCACGTTTAATTGCCCTTTCACAATCCTCTTTTCCACAATGATAAATGTTTATCCGAAAAGAAAAAAAGTGATATAAAATTACTAAAACTTGCGCGTGACCCAAAAAATCACAAAGTCTGACATGGCAAAACGTTAGCACCGGAAAACACCAAATCTTAAATGTTCTGTTTATATAAACTTGGCAAGGGATACGTTCTTGGCAACTTGTCAAACCAACTTAAATACATTCTTTAAGTTACAATCCTTTTAACGACGATTGTATTCAGCTTATCTATGCAATATAAAGAGTACCTTGCTTTTTTGTATAACTCAATCAGCTGTCAAGTACCTACGTAGTCCCTAGTCTGGTTTCGTTTTTGTATGGTGGCTGATTTGGTTTAAACATATTTTATTCGATATATTTTCATTATGATGAACAATATTTACACAATACATTTGGGATTGGGCAGAAAGCTATGAAAGCTTATGAGCGTGTAACAAAAATCTGAAAAATAAAGGATATGAATTGAAAACATATTTATTGGTTGGGACGATAGTTTGTCTGTTGTACTAAATTTTAATAAAATGATAAACGTTTTGATTATTTTAAGTTAAAACGGTTTGCTTATACGATCAGAAAAAGTATGAGTTACACATCAAAATTTTTTAATCTTAAAATTGATTCCAAGAAATGAGACAGATATTAATTAATAGTCTCTCAAACTAGTTCATAATTACATTAATATAAAAAAGCGTGGATAATAATTCTATAAGTAGGTCGTGATCTGATGAACTAAAGATCATTTTGTTAAGGATGTTGAACAAAGAAAAACAAGGTAAATTAAAATGATATTAGAAAATGTTTGACAGTAAAGGATTCTTGCATATAATATATTGTCATGAACGACATATAAATATAAGTATATCAACATTTAAAACATGGTCATGTCTACATTTTCTTATATCGGTCATCACGTGATATAACATAAAACCATCGGCAAATAGAAGTTTTGTAAAATATCAATATCATATCATACATACACAAAATTATAAACATTCCATTAATATACAGAACCGCCTCCGTGGTCGAGGGGTAAGAGTCGATGACTTCTTATCCAGTTACCTCTCTGGCGTTGGTTCGATCCCGGGAGATGCTTTGGTAGTTTAGCATGGAGGAAGGTAGTCTAGTACTGGTGTAACTCTCCAGGAACGATAGTTAAGAAACTACCCGCCTATATGAGTTAAGAAACTACCCGCCTATATGACTAAAATACTGTTGGGAAAAGGCGTAAAATGAAACAAACAAACAAAAACAAAAATAACGTTCACAGTACCATCAACAATGTTGACACTATGTACACTACCATCATCATGTTATACATATTTCGCAGTAACATTTACAAGCCATTCAATATACACAAATCCATCATCAGGCCATGTTTATGTTACTGAATTATATTTGCAAGGCACCTATGTTATACATCAGCATGTTAAAATTGCAATTAAAAACCATTATCATACCACATGCTACGCAATACCATGATAATGGTTTACATGTTACACAAAGCCATTACTGCTGTGTATGTGCTAAAATAGCATGTAAGTGCCTAACATACCACATAATTCTATTTTCATATACACACAACTCGGGCCAATTAAAATGTCATATATGAAATACCATTTACATATCATATGATACCATATAACAAGAAGAACATGAGATAAACATTCATGGTATATTGCACCATTATCATTATATATGTGAAATAGTGATAAAAACTTGTTTATACGATCAGAAAAAAGGTATGAGTTACACATTCACGCATGTTGTTTTCTAAATCTTAAAATTGATTCCGAAAACAAGAGATAGAAAATAGATAATAGTCATTTGTGCCATTCGTGTCTTAGCCCCGCGACCCTGCCAAGAAAACAGATGATTAACTAAGTTAAATGGCGGAGACGGGGAGCAAAAAGACGCTAATTAACGCAGGCGTGGGGCGAAGTTAAAAAACTCCGCCCCGCGGGGTTGTGGAGCAAGATTTAAAAAATAAAAAGGCAGGGTCGCGGAGCAAAACACGCTTATAAACGCTCGCTAATATTTTCGCTTCGCGCCCCAACCATTTTAACATGTTAATTCTCGACTTTTCGCTCGGCGAAGTAGCGGATGAAAACACGCTTATTAGGGGGTCGCTGTGCGACGTTTTGTTTATCAAACTTCGCCCCGCGCCCTCGCTAATTAGCGTTTTGTCGCTCAACTTCCCGCCATTTAACTTGTTAATTCTCGGCTTTTCGCTTGGCGGGGTCACGGGATGAAAACACGCTAATTTGCTTATTTATTAAACTTAGCCCGCGCCCCGCCAAATAGCGTGCACTGCGCCCAAGCCGTTCTTTTTCTTTAATCATGCTCTGCGCGTTCGGGCGGCGAACTTATTTAACTTCACCCGCGTCCCCGCTTATAAGCCTGTTTTTGCTCCGCGGCCCCGCCAAATTGACTTGTAAATTCACGACTTTTCACTTGGCGGGGACGAAAATATAAATGACACAAACCAGCCACCATAGTTTTGTCTACGTTGTATTGTGGAAGTATAGCGTAGCTGGGCAAAATAAAATTTGGGCAACCTTCCTATTTTAAGTAACATTGACATGAACGTGAAGGTCATTTGAAAAACAAAATAAAACGTGATAAAACTGTGTTGAAAAATTCACCACAGGAGTTATTTTAAGAAATGCATTAATAAGCGTTTCTTTTTGTGAA